AAAGGACAAATGCATTACCCTCATCTGGGCTAGCTGAGAAGAACAAGAGAAAGCCTGACTAGCAGCTATAAAATGGAGGGTACAGAACATAAAAGTGTACCTTCGCACCTTCCTCTTGTGGATTTAACACTAAAATAACTCACAAAATGCTGTATTTGTTAAATGCAAAATTAAAAAAAAAAAGCTATAAAGCACTGCAACTTACATGCATTTTAGTTACTTCCATCGCATTATTTTTCCCCCCCCTTGTTTTTGCTCTAGAATTGTCAAAGTGCCGCAAGCACACCATTCCAGTTCCTAACAGTTTGTAGCTACTCCTACCCTTGCTAGGGAAGCAGAGGGACAGGAAGAGGAAGAAAGCAGAGGGGAGCTTTGCAGTGAGGAATGGTCACTCTGGAGAAAGATTTCAGCAGAGATAGGGCTCGTGATAGAGGTGCTCAAAGCCTGTTGGAGGTGATATCAGAGCAGAATGTCAAGAGGATGTGGGGAAAGGAAATTCATTCTGTTATTTTAAGACAACAAACAAGAAAAAGGAAGGAGGAGAGACTGATTATGTACAAAACTACTAACAAGCTCCTGGCAGTGATACCTGTTTCTTTCAGTGTCTCAGCTAACAGTATTTCCTTGCATAGGATTTAGAAGCATTGCACATCAGGAAAGTTCACCTTTCTTAAAATGATTAGAAGAATTTGGTACAGAGATAATACTTGAAGCCTATACAGCTCATCTTCGCAGTTTTTCTGAGCAAGAACAAATGCACATATATCTCCCTCCCTTTTAAAAGTAATTTACCAGTGGGAGGTCCATGAGAACCTGCATTCCATCTCCTGGTCCCATATGAGCCACGTGGTTGAAATTTGTTGGGTTAGAAATCATCTTTGACCTTAGCTCAGGGTCTCTAAGCATTTCCCTAAAAGAACAGAGTGATTTTTGCTATTAGCATTCCCAGCCTCTGCATGTCATCATGTATATTAAGTTACATACCATGATTAAATTCTTACCGCCTTTGTTGTAATCGCTCTTCCTCAGGAACCTTAAATACAAATCTTCTTTTGCTCCTAGTTCGAAGCATTTGCTTCTTGCTATTGTCAGATGTTTCTGGTACACTGAGGACAGCTCCTGCTGCAATACCACAATGCAATTTCACATACATAGGTACGTGTTGACCCAGCCGCATCCAATACAAGTTTCATCTCATGCAAAGGTAACATTGCTTAAAATTACCCAGTTAGCTTTGATTAATTTGCCCATTTCTCCCCTTGCTCAATACTCACCTGCAAACTTGTTCTTGAAATATATTAGTCTTGGTGGCTCACAGTTAAGGAGATTCAGTGTGCCGTCCATGTTTAATGGTCTGATCTGTTTTGAGGAAGGAGGCAGAGAATTAACTCATGCCTAGCGTACACTGCGAAGAAACATCTCATTTGGAATTAATCCAATCAAGTTCCACATTCAAGGAAAATTACTTACCCTTCGCAGGCCAATAGTCTGGACCCATTCCATAGTGTTAACATCAAATACATCAACACCATACTCGCTATACACTGTTACGTACGAAGAATTGCAACCTGCATAGATGAAAAACAAACAGAAAACCCTAATGTGGTTTCAGCAGTCCAGAACTGACATATATTTGAGCAAATTTCAATACTTACAAGTTTTCCACTATGTGCAAGATACATTTTAAAACACTTTTTCACAGCCCCACTTTCAAACAGATATTTCTGTGATAATAGATTTGCTAATGACAACTACCAGCGTCATGGAAAGATTAAATTTGACCCTTTCAGTATTTTTAAACTTCAAATTATGATTTCATGAAATTGCAAAATGGCATCTGAAGTTTTCAGATGCATACAAATTTGCTACTTGGTAGGAACAGAGCAGCTAGCTTTTCCACAGATGCAGATTACTTCATTTCGGAAGCATCAAACTAACTATGCATCTGCTGTGTGCAGAGGAAAAGAGAGGGCCACCATCTGTGAGGTGGGTCATGAAGTCATGATGCGGATCTGTTCTCAATTTCCTTCCTCTTTTGCTAACAATTATCTAGCTTTAGATATTCACGTATGGGTTGCTTTCATCAGGTTAACAGAAAAATGTCACATTGTCTCTTTTCAACTTTTTTTTTTAAAAAGCATAAAAGGCATGAGCAGACAAGTTTATTTTAGGTCAAACGAAAAGCGGAGATCCCTAGAGCTTCCTATCAACGTGCTTCTGCTCAAGTAAAGACTATGTCATGATGTAAAGAGCAGTTACTAGAAATTTATGGGATTTAATAGAGAAAAGAGCTGTTTTGATAAACAAAAGGAAAATAATGCAGTAGGGCACTAAACACATTACAGAATCTTCTTAGAAGAACGGAAGTAATGGTTGTGATGCTATTTTTTAAACTTGTTCACAGAAAGCCTTAGACAGCTATCATTAATATGTATCCCAGAAGTGATTTATGGTCAAGTATTTATCATATGGGGTCATGGTTGACTTGGATGTCCAAATCAAGGGAGACCACTGAGCATCAGATAGAAACACCAACTGCTTCTGCCTGGCCAGCTGGTAGCCAAGGCCAGCACTTACCAGTCAGTGCTGACGAGCTTGATCAGATCTCAACTGGTTCCCAGAGAGACATGTCAGTGGCTGCACTGGGCTTGCCCACGCTACAGCTTCCAAGACCTGCTGGCTCCAAGTCTTTGCACTGCACCGTACTCAAGCTAGACAGCCCCACAATGCCTACGCTGCCTCAGCACAGAACCAGCGCTTTAAGCTGGTTTAACCACAACCTAAACAGGCCCCCCAAGATAAGAGAGCTGACTGTGTTAGCGCAGACCTGGGCCTCTCCTAGTACGAGGGGTCTGAATGCCCTAGAGACAAATTCTCCCTTGTATCCTAAAACCTCTCTACAACATGGTCCTTTACCCACCAGAAACTGCAACAGGGGGAGAACTATTTCTACTTTGGTGATCTCCTGATGGGACAGTTAAAAAAAGCCACCATCACCAGTGACAGACACCAGGACTGAGGAGGGAGGACAAGGCTAATGGAAAGTAATCCAGTTTCCTTTGGCAGTGGACGAAGTTGCCCTTTCTATAAAAACAGCCCTAGGTCAACGCCACTCAGGACTGCATATACAAGAATGCTATAAAATCATTTACGGTAAGAACAGCTTCTAATAACAGATAAAACAATTAACTAGCATGTCTAGTTTGCCAAAATGCAAAAAACTGTAAAGCTGATAAAGGAAAAGGAAACACTAGCTTTGGCTAATGGCATTTTAAAGTAAATTTGCAACTACATTGTTTCCTTGGGCCTTTGCTTCAGACTTCTGTACAGAACTAGGTCAGAGTAAAGCAAGCAAACAATTTCAGCTCAAGACAATTAAAATTAAACAAACTGCTATTAGGGCCTGGCTTGATCAAACCAACGAGCACCTAACTGCTCGGTGTACTATTTAAACAAAAAGCTATTAAGAAATAGCTTTCAAACATTCAAAACACTTTAATTGCTATTTGAGCTCCAAATAGAAATCCCGGTTTTATCACGAACTGTCTTTGTCTACCAAATACTGAAAAATGCTCCGCACATGCTTGTATCCTAACTAGCTGATAAACCAATGTGCCTGAAAAGAGCAGAGCGGTTGAAAAATTAGCCTCCACCTGCCTATATTATTTTTGGAAATTCTTCCCCTAAAAATAAAACCAATACGAAAAAATTGCAACTAGTTCTGCCAAAAGCAATATTTTTACCTCTTATTTTGTTATCTTTATGAACCCTTAGACTCACAGTTACATTTCATCTTCAACTTTCTATTGTACTTTGAGTACAGGACACAGAAGACATCCTACAGACAACTAGGCATTTACACTCTCTAGGGGAGCAAAAACCTTTACGGAATTTCACAGATGGGTAGTCTTGTACTGTCCTGCATCCAGGACTACTCTCTGCTCCGTAAAAGTTAATTTGCATTCCATTATTTGTTCTTCTGTGTCCTGTAATAAGACGGGGCTTCTTTTCTTGCAGCATCTCAGCCCAGGAGATCACCAAGTCCAAAACTACCATCAGGAAGAACTGTGTATCCTGTTAACTCATCAAAACTTAAACTGTAGATATTGAAAGACAAACCAAAGCAAAATAGAATACAATGCTGATTATTTTTAGACAAGTAAAGCAGCAACAGGGATATGGCAACAGAAAAACATATACATACTACAGGCAACAGGAGTTGCAGGCCACATTAGTTCCTGCATGCGTGACCTTCGACCTTGCGAATCGACGTATACTCCCATATGGCTGAAGCAAAGCAGGTATTCCTCATTACTGAGCTCCACAGCACAAAGGGCATCAAAAGACTGCTGTGAGAGGAAGATAAGCGAGGGGTCATTAGGATTTACCAGGTTTATAGATTGTCCATCTCCCTGGATGGTCAACAGAGAGAACCCAGACTGGTAGCCAACACAGAGCTTGTCCTTGAACACTGTCATCCACTGTACAGTTCCTGGAGCCTGGATTTCACTGAATTTTTTGTGGAAAGGTTTAGTTCTGTGAATTTCATAGCAAAAAACCTGTCGTTTGACAGCCACAAACAAACAAGTCGAAGAACTCTTCTTTAGTGTTCCAGTTGTAATCAATTGGCAGCCTTTAGATTCTGCAAGCTTAATGTCAAAGTTTCCTTCCGACCCATCCAGAGAAGCCCAGGGGTAAAGGTGAACGTGATGGTTCCGACCACAGATGAGGATGATGATTTTCTCTTTGGGAGCAAGCTCTATCTGGTACACCTTCTTGCAGTCAGCAGCTCGGACTATCACTGCAAAGGAAACAAGAGCTGCTGTAAGTTAAACGAGAAAACCACTGTGCCTGGAAACATTGCAGTGTTACATACTGATGTCTGAAAATGAACCTAAACACAGACACGTACCAGATAAGAAAGAGCACTTATTACACACGTTCAACACTACATTATTAATTCTGAGAACAAACAATGAAATAAAGCATTCCTGTAACTCTCTCTATGGAGATAAAGTCTCGCTTCAGCAACACTTTGCAGGGATAGGCTACTTAAGCTCTGGGATAAATGGAGAAAAAATTTTATATAATAATATCCGTACTATCTATACACTGCAAGATGGTGTATCTTCTGAAACTGGTCCCACCTTCAGGAAAAACATCATCATCTTCAGTAAATTATGGAGGAAGACTGAATTAGCAGAACACAAAGAGAAGAAATATAAAGTATTTAATGCTGATAATTGAGGATACAAAATGCTGTACTGTTGGCAAATGTCTCAGCCAAATACAAAAGCAGTACAGTAAGTGGATGTTAAACACCTACAGGGAAAGGCAAAAAATGCTGTGTGCACTGGGGAAAGGTAAGTAAGAATGGGCTTAAGCTGTAGGAAGAGAGGTTTAAGACAGGCACCAGGAAAAGCCTTCTTACAGTCAAGACTAGTTAGGTAACCTGTGGAAGCTGGGGAGTCTTCACTGTTTGAAGGTATTTTTTAAAACTGGGTTAGAGGCAGCTGACATATTCTCCTTTTGGGATCATGGGTATATTGGCACTTTCAAGAAAGCAGTGAGTATTTCATGGGGTAAAAATAGAAGACTAAGCAATTCCAAACTAGGAAAACATAATACATAATATGCATAAGCTAATTATATTAAAATATCATTTTCATTTTTCTGTTAACTGAATGTGTTCAAAATATTTGTGAATTATAATACAAAAAGAAATATTAGCTGGAAGTTATATGCATTTTTTCAGTAATAGCCAAGTTACCAAATTCTGTGAAGTTTTACCAAGACTTTGGCTGTTTAGATCAAAGCTAAGTGTTTTGTGGCATCCCCTCAATTGCACAAATAGATGATATGTCTGAAGAAATGTTCTATGAAATAACCAGCTGTTGGAACTTTGCCACAGAGAAAAGATCTTTTTTTTTTCCCCAGCTCCAACTCCAGCTTGCAGTTTAGTTTATTTGTCAAGAATTCTGACCAAACAGTCAGAACTGGCAGTTAATTAACACTGAAAATTACAACTGCCATAAAACGAAAAAGAGATTACAATCTATAAAAATGCTATCAGCACACAGGGACTGGTCATAGAAAACTCATGCAAAACACCTCTTAACTTAAAACCAAAAGTGATAATTCATTTTCACATTTACATATGACATTGTGATGCAGATAATCGTTCCTTTATGAAATGACCTTTCAAATTAAATGTACAATTTTCTTTTGTGCAAGAAGCTGTACTGGAATCTCTGGAATTACTTGCATGTAAAGTTATGTTCATATCTAAGTACTTACAGAATGGTGACTACTGGAAGTTTACTCAAAGGAATGAATGGCATTTATTACTGCTAAAAAGAATTTCAAATATCTGCTGTCTCCATGTATAAAGCATCTTCTCCTGAAATTGGGCAATGGCTTATTCTAAGCAAGAGGAAGCAACAGGATTTTGCTTTTTGCCTCAAATCTACATCCCTGACTTTGTACTTCATTTTATTTTGAAAGTCAAGCAAGTCTTTAAAAACCTGTATTCACTGCTGTATTTTACACTGAAATACAAGTTTTAGCATGACTGCAGTTCAAATTTCAACTAGTCATGAAATAAATTGCATTGAAAAAGGAAATTAAAATTCTTCCATTAAGTCAAAATTTAAAGAAGTCTCTTCTTTGAAATTTGAACAACAATGACTAAAAATAGTCAAAGGGAGATTTCAGAAGTGCTCCAGGGATTTTTTCCAAAGTTGGAAAAGAGACCCAGGCACCTTTTAATTTTACAAATCTGTATCACTGACCTCAGCATCCTCAACTCCCAGACAGCTAAAGACACCAGAAGAATCTAAGCTCAGAAATTATAAATATAGGTGAAGAAAGCATTAGGTATTTTGTTAGAAACAATCCCACCGGAGAGCCAAGGCTGTTAGCTCTATACCACAAAAAGTACGGATTTAGAGTGCTGTCTAAATTTAGAGTGCCTCAGGAGTTACAAGAACGAATGGATTTCACAAGGTATATTTGGTGCTTTTAAAGTCAGAGAGAAAGAAATAACTAATATTTCCTATGGTAACTTGGAAAAGGATATATAGTAGTAGATTATTGTATTTTAAATCTGTGTTGCTTCTTAGAAATATATTACTTAACTTCTATAAATTCAGCTTAACTCAACTAGTTTTTTTCTTTTTTTTTGGTCGTTTGTTTGTTCAAAATAAGAATATCTTATTTTGGAAGCAGACTGCAAAATTACCCAGACTTGTTCTTTGCTTCTCCATGTTTAAAATTGCATTTTGTATGGATTGACCCCAAACAATCCCAATGCTCATGTGCTAGCAATCCTTTTGGCCTCCATGCTTTCCCCACAATACTAAGGCATGTCTCCCATTGTTATTTGTGTTTGTGCTGAGTACATCAGGTTAAAAGGAAAAATGCTACCCTTACCCTTGTACAGTTCTGGTCCCTGTTATACAAAAAAGATGTGGACAGCCTGAGAGAGCTGGGCTTGTTCAACCTTGAGAAAAGGAGGCTTAGAGGTGATCCCATCACCACGTACCAGTACGTAGAGGGGCGATAAAGATGAAGGGGACGCTCTTTTTTTACAAGGAGTCACATGGTGAGGACAAGGGGTAACGGGTACAAGTTACTCCCAGGGAGATTCCGATTGGACACGAGAGGTAAATTTTTCACAATGAGAACAGTCAATCATTGGAATAATCTCCCCAGGGAAGTGGTTGACTCCGCTACGCTGAACATGTTTAAGACTCAGCTGGACATGGTGCTGCGCCATCTCGTCTAGACTGTGCTAGAAAGGTTGGACCAGATGATCCTTGAGGTCCCTTCCAGCCTGGTATTCTATGATTCTATACTCCCTAGCTATGATGCCTAATAATTCAACGATAGAGGGGTATGCTTGTGCTGCTCAGTGACTAACCTGGAGCGGTGCTGCGGTAGCTGAAGCACAGTCTGTATGAACTTCTGGAATGGACATGGTAAGTCTTTAGAAAGAACAGGCTAAACTGATCCCACGTTTCCCAAAGCAGAGGGCAGAGTACATTAAGAACAGGAAGGAAAAAGCAGGTTCAGGAGGAAGCATGGGGTCAGGGAAATAAGGAGATAATGGAAAGGGGCAAGCAAGGCATTTTCTTTGGCCACCATCAGTCTGAAACAGAATGTGAGTGGTTGTCAAATTTCTGGAAGAAACAGACAATGACACATGGTGGCTTTAATGGAAAGTCTACAAACTTGTGTTGCTTGCACTGGCTGTCTAACTCCTAATTCATGGCAGTTTAAGTTCTCTGATGGTGCAGCGTGGAACAAGTCTGTTTCCACGTCAAGTTTTTCTCAGTCGATTCAAGTACTATTTAGTAAGTGCCTGATAGTTCACTGTGCATCAACTGCTGCTGTGTGTGCTCTGTGTGCTGAAGCATTTTGCTACCCGCTGTGGGAACACAGTTAAGGTGAGAATGTGTCAGAATATGCCCAGTAACCCATCAGTTTAATTTCAGCCAGTCAACTGAATGTAATGATAATGACCAAATTAGTGCTTATACCTCACATTCACTTTTCCTTCTCATCAATTTACTGAGTGCTTAATACTTACTATACATGAAGGGCTGTTGTGTAACCTATATTATAACAGCACTAAAAGTTATTCTGTATGTAATTACTGCATGCATTATGGCCTAACTTACCGTCACGAGTTACCTCTATCACATACAGTCCTTCTTCTGAACCAATTGCTATTCTATCTCGATCTAAACCAGGAAGGGAAAAAAAGGCTATTAATTCAGCTATACTTAATCTTATCTTTAAAACAGACTGTTTGCTTTGAACAGCTGGAAGAATTTCTGGACAAACAGATTTTCAACTGCAAATCAATTTTGCTCAAGTTCACGCAGTCTGTCAAAAGCATGCTAGGTACCGTATTGCTAAAACAACCTGTTAAACAACTAAACAGTATTATTTACTTGGAGTGGATGAAGAAATTTGAATATCAATGCAAGATCAGCATTTTTCCCCCCATTATTAAATTCCTATGAAGGAATTCACCTGAGGAATTTATTTCAAGGTGTCAGTGCTCTCATTACAGAAGCCCATCTAAAAGCTCCAACAACTCTCACACACTTATAAAAGTTAAAACAAACATACCTACAATAGCAGCAGCTAAACTTGCTTTAATAAGAGGCAGTGTACTGTCATAGGCTTCTTGTGGAATATGCACAACCTGGTTTTTCAGTCTGTTTTTGTGCAGGATAGACTGCAACCCTTCTAGGATTCCAACCCACTTTCTCTTCTCATTCTCATTTTCTGTCAGGATCAGTAGAGAACAAGACTTTGAAGGCAAACCTAAGAGAGAAGCTGTCACCTTTTAACAGACAGAGAAAGCAGAATTAATAAGAGTAATAAAAGCCCTTTTTGTCAGTATTATATACTTCACAGAACTATGAAAGTAAAATACACTTTTTCATAACAATGCGATGATATACCTGAGTGGTACGCAACACAGCACACAGCCAATATGGCCGCAGTGCTTTGAAAAAACACGCAAACCTCAGTGGTTTTCTTTAAAAATATTCAGTCTTGCTTAATCATTTTGAGTTCTAAAATATGGGCAAGAAACTACATCCCTTTCCTACAATAATCAATATGTGCCAGCAAAAGGCTTCTGCCTGTTCCAAACTGGAATTCCAGTAGCATGCAATAATTTGTCCTGATCCATCCCCCCCATCTTTTAATTACTGAAAATGACACACGCGCTTTCTGAGTCAGATGCACTTAAACCCAATGGCATTGCCATGATCAGTTCTAGATTTCGATTTTACTACTTCCAAAATATTTGTCCAGGGGGAAGAGCACATTGTATCTGTATTAAAAGCTCTGGAGGAAACAATCTTTTGAGATTGTGAAGTATTCTCCCACTTCCCCAAGTTAAAAGAAAATCACAATGGCTTCACTTAATTTTCAGGTAAATAATCCTATAGAAAAACTATCCAGGAACTTTCTGTTGGCCAAAGTATACACTTAGTAATTCTTAGTATTAGTTGTGTCCTGTGTGAAGAGATCATAGGAATTGTGAGATCATGGGTACTATGCTTCCAGTCATAGACAAACAGGACATCAGCCACAACAGCCACATCACCTCTCACAACAGACTTTTAGAATAACCATAGTTAAACAGAATAAAAGCAGCAAAAGGTGCAAAAGTGCAAAACTGAAGGCTATGACTATTCATACATGGAATAACACACCTTTAGCCTATATGCCTTGATAAGAAAAATCACCATAAAAATGGATGATGTGGTTAGGCAACATACACTTCCCGAAAGAGTGAATTAAGCAGTAATGTTCATCTTAAAGAAAAAAAAATATCTGAAAGCAAACTTGAGACAATAGGATGTCAGAGACAGAACTCCAGAAGTAAGATGAAAGTGAAGAGCAGTAGGAAAAGAACTGACTAGTTTGCAATTGCTCATAGCTCGTATTACTCTGCATCAAGCTTTGTTCATGTCCTAAACTGTAACTAAGCATTAATATTTTAAAGATGGATGGAGGCATAATAAACAATACTTCTAAATTTGAAAACAAAACCAAATTAGACTTCAGCTATGGTTTTCTCTTTGAAGTACCACCATGTATTACTCCTCAGTCTTTTGAAGGTGGCATCTTACATGCAGTTAAATGCAGAAAAAATGGGAGAAGTTGGTGATAATATACCTACCATTATTCATCATACAAAAATCCAGTATTTGCTATGAAACTCAAGGCTTTTTAACTCAAACTGCTGCTGTTTGACTCCACTACAGACACTCTTATGTTATTATTAAAAATGTATCGACGGCAGCACTTAAGACTGCAGTGTCTGGATGCCAGGACAGCCTAACATCCAGCTTTAAAAACTGGTTACCAGGGAGAGATGTTGGAGTTCGAGACAAGTTCTTCCTCTTCTTGATTTCATGAAGGGTCAGAGGTGGCAAGATTTTAGCGTTTGGCAGCATTCTGCTATTGCTTTCTGCTGGTAGAAGATCCAAACGGACATGGAAATCTGTCTTTGGCGGGACACCAATATCATTATGTGTTACATGAAATAACACATATGAAAGAAGGACCACATTTTTATACAGATGATGTAAGGTAACAGCTTTAACTGTTGTGTAGAAGCCACTCTATGTCATTATGTCAGCAAGCTGCAAATCTAGAAATAAATGAAATTGACAAAAATATTCTCTTTTGCATCAGATATTACTGGTTTCCAGTTTTAGAAATTCCTTCTTTTGAAGGAGGACATAAAAATGAGAGAAGAGAGGGACCAGAGAAGATGCTGCCAAAGTCCATGTCAACAAAATATTTAAATAGATATACTCACACACCAGGCTTCTAGTTAATTCATCAGGTCTCCTTAGTAGGGGATAATCTGATCAAACCGTGGAGACATTTTGTCATGTCTGTCCACACAAGTATTCTTATATGGGGATATTTGACAAAAGTTTTTTTTGCTTAGATACCCTTTCAGTTAAAAACTGCAGACAGAAATTAGAGCAGCAAGTCAAGCAGGCTAAACGAATCAATCATCATTCTGCATAGCTCATTTTCTCTCCTCTGAAGTCCTTTCCCATAGTATTGCACATTTGCTAATTTGAGAAGAGAGCAGGCAGATGGGAATAGAAAAAAACCTACATTTAGAAACACGTAAGAGGAAAATGAAGGTAAAAGTAGTAGTAAACTAAGGCACGAAAATCCACTGCAGAAAATATTTCTACAAAAAAGCAGAAAAGCAAAGCCACAGAAGCATTCAAGTAGCTAAGACATTTCCTAAGTAAAACTCTAAAGGACCAAATGATTGGGACTGCAGGTGACTGTCAGCTCTCTGGGCTCCATGTTCCACTGATTTGAATTTCAATGACCGAGGATAAGAGATGCTGGAAAAAGTGAGTTTCTCTATTCAAATGCAAGGGATTATAAATATTGTCTACTAACGTACTCTTCTCTACGTTTTAAAATTCCAGATTAAATATAATTCACATAAAACCTATGAAAGAAGTTCCTGTTGTTAAAAACCAAATACAGCATTCAGATAGAACATACGTCAAAGAGGATATTATAACTAAGGTAATTATTTTCTCTTAGTTTAAATTTTTTCTACTACACTTAAATATGAAATTAAGGAAACTGAAATTTCAAATGTATTTTTTTATACAAGACAATACATGGCAAACTAGAATCAGTGAGCACAATCCAGCTTCAGCCTACTGTGTTACAGCATCAGTTCCTAAAGCAAGAGTCCTCCAAAGCTAAGAAATTAAAAACAGGATCTGGTAATACCAACGGAAGAGGAGACAAAAATATACTGAATTATAATCAAGAAAAGAAAAAAAACCAAACTTTATATACAAGGAAGCAGAAAAAGGAGAACTTTGTTCTTTACAATTCAGTTATAAGAGAAGTATCATATTGTTCTTCTACACGTTTCAGCACCCCTTATAAATTCTTATACTTCCGCATAAATTAATAAACATTAAATATGGATAACGTACTTCACTATCAAAACAAAACACTGGTATTTAACTTGTATTTTCTTTCAGAGTAAATTGGTAGCCATACCCTGAATATACAAGGGATGTCTTTACGAGTTGCGTGTATTACATCCGATGCTAGGACAGAGCTCACACAAAAATCTTCATCTCTAGTAAGAAGGAGAACAAGAGAATCACATACACGAATCTCACACTAACATTATTCAGCAAAATCTAACTGATATCATAGCTGTTTCAATAGGCTGCAGTCTCCTAACACCGCACAGAGGTCACAACTGCCGTCACTGCTTTGTTATGCTCTAACCATCCTTGACCTAAACAACTCACAAGCTTTAGTTATGTTTCTACAGCATTCAATACGTGTAACTCAGTCCACCTGAAGTTAAGTGGGGTGGCTTTGTGTAGTTTTGGTTTACCGACCACACCTATTCTACAATTAGCAGTAAGAATATTGCTCTTCCAGCCCAGCAGACACATTAGAAATGAATAATTCATACCTCAATGTGTAGCAAGAGAGGGGCCTTTGGAAAAAAAGAAAAATCACATAAAAAGCTCTTGGCAACATAATTATAGTTTGTGGGATTCAAATAAGGGTTTTCAAAACAGCTAGATTTTATTCTCTATTACAGTAAAATAAACAGACATCAGAACAACTTTTGCATTTCAGAGTGCTCCACCCCAGAGGGCTTGTCTACACAAGGCTTTTTAAACTGAATTTGACCAAGTTGATCACCATAATTGCCAATTTCAGTGTAAAGATGACACTAATGCCTGAAACTTGCCCATGCTAGAATTCATAGCTGTAGTGGTTAATGTCTATTAAAACATCTAAGAATCCTCAGAAGACAGACACAAAGAGGCAGCTACAATAAGCAGATAAAGCATGGGATAGTGGTATAATATCTGGCTGAGTTGCTTCAAGCAACGTACTGATGTGAATGCTGTTATTTGCAATACATCCACGCTTCTGCTCCCACTGCCAGCATTGTCAGAGAGGGCTGACAGTGACGGTTCTCAGAGAATAAATGTGAGAACACAACAGCAGTACTGGTGCAACCCCATGGTACTGCTGTCTGGAAAAAAATACAAATCAAGGTGCTTGTGAATACAAACTTTATATTCAACAGAGATAGAAGGTGCCGTAACATTAAAAGGTATTACGCTTTCTTGATATTTCCATAAACTGAAATAAAAAAAAATTCGTTACTCTGATTAATGAAAGTCTCAAATCTTTTGTAGACAGTGTTCAGTGGTTCAAATGGTTCACCATGAAAAAATGACTCCTGTGAGAAGACAGGGTCAGAGCCACTTGCACTGTAAATTAGTTGGTGCTTTTCTGAAGACTACTTCAGTTTTTCTAATGTTCCTGAAATTATTGGCTATGGGATGATCTGTGACTCACTCTTCAGGTCAGAGTGCAGGGGAAAAAACAATATACCAAAGCCTATTTGTTTTCCATGGGTGCACGTGGAATTCTAGGAAGAAACATGCTAATACTGTAAATGTTAGTGATTGTAGTATAAGCGACTATAAAAATCACTTAAGTGACATCTTGTTGAGCCAATTCATTCAGCCTAAACTTAGCTGCAGTCTATATTCAGAACACACAGGTATTCTCAGACCAGAGCTCTCATGATCTACAAGTTTCTTGTGTACTATAAATAAATATTCCTGTTAGGGAAAAAATACAGAGGGTTTCCACTCTGTCATAATAATACAAACCTGAGATCCAAGACTTGACTTGCAACAACTCCAGGCTGGGTGGATTTTCCTTCAGGCACGTCATACAAGAACAGTTTACAGTCACAGACAACTGCATAAGCCCTCTGCCACCCTTTCTTAACTCCTGTAGGCTTTGGGACCTGCATATAAATAACTGATTGCTTATTAAATGTAAGCACATGTAGTAGACACAGAAAGCAGGGACATTTAGAAAAGCTTATACTTAGATCAACGGAATTAGAACATGTTCTACTTTCCCTTCAAAACGGGGTGAAAAAATGTCAAGTAATCAAGCAATCATTTTTCCTCCCGTAAGTTCAACCATTCCCTGTTACAGTTTAATAAACATATTAGGTAGTATTAGGACAAACAATGGGGCTTGTATATTCCACAAATGCCAAAATGGTAGGACAGTTTACCTTTTATATTACACTTATATCAACAATGACAGAAATTCTTCCTTAAAGCATACTCCCTCCCCCCAGCTACTTATGAACATTGTAGCTACTAATCTACTAACCTTTAGCTCTTGTAGTAAAACCAACCGTTTCTCCCACATCTAAAGCAATGAAGGTTAAATAAGTTACATAGATAGCACACAAAGCCTTAAGGCTTTACCACAGTTTAGGAGATCTGTTTAAACATACTTAGAGGTTCCAAACTGCATAGCTGTAAGTGTTCAGTATTCTTCCCTTGTCCAAGAACAAAAGACTATTACCTTGACGTAACCTTTATAGGCTGTTCCTATTCCTCTTTGCACATCTACTCCAAGAGGCCTTTTGGCTTGCTCAGGGGGTATAGGGCAGACCTGAGGTGCGCTATCCTTGCAGGAAACATGGCATGCAAATGAACACACTAAGTACAAAAGAGAAAATCCACAGTGAAATGCGTGTATGAGTCAATCATAACAGGAGATTAATGTAGTCTATCCTTAGCTCAGCAAATTAATTAATCACACTGAAACTGGTAGTCAAATATTGCAATAGCCCACTATGCTAAAGGAGTGAACGCACCTAGATAACGTATGAGACTCTCCAAAGTGCTTTTATTTTCTCTTTTAAGCCTATTAGTTCCATAAAGGGCAGGAACTGAGTTCACATTTCAAGGCAACTTATGAAAGCATTTTCCAGAAGGAAAAGGAGTTGGTCAGCCTCACTGGTGTTAAGCAGTAACTAACACAGTCACAGAAGAGAAAAAGTATTAATAAAGGAGGAATAAAAATTACACAGCAGTGGCAGGAGACGATAAATATAGTAGGTGTTTCATTTGATCCAAGTGTGCAAGAACACTGCAAAGACAAAGTAAAACTGAACTGACCAAAAAAAGTAGAACAGGTTAAACTATTAAACACAAGCAATAGACTTGAAAGCATAATAAAGTAGTAGTCAGGGGACAAGGACTGAAATGCTGTGTGGTGAAAGGCACATCTCTCTCTCTCTCTGAGTTCAAATAAGGAGCAAACATCTACACTAATTGTTGCATCCTTTCTTACCATTTACACCACTTTGTACCACTTTGTGCTGCACCAGCAAGGGACAGAGGTCTCTTGTCTATAGAACACTTCACACAGAGGCACTACACAGAGAAAACTCTGAATATATGCTACTTCACATGAGACAGACTACAAGAACTGTGGAATGAATTAACATGTTATATCGAGGCATCTGACCCACAGTTTATGGGCCCCATCTTTCCACAGAGATTTCGTCTGGTTTGCCCCAGCCACCCTGTTTTGACCAGTAGGCTTGGGAAGGCAGCGGGAGAGTGGCACGGCACTGTCATCTATCCTGTGCTTCCTCCTAACCATATTCTCAGAAGTGGGCACATGGCAGATACCCCATGCACATCCAGTGCTGTAATTAGAAAACGTGGAAACAGCCTGCTTCTGCTGGAGCCGCAGAGTAGGCTACAAACCTCCTCCTCACGATGCCTGGTGGAACAGCCAGGAGAGAGGGCAGCCCAGAGCAGGCTGCCTGGCTCGTTCTTTGAGCTATAGTCTGCTCCCAGGCAGACAGGGGTTACCAAAGAGCCATGCATGCAAAGTACTGTAGGTGCTCCCCAAGAACAGATAATAAATTCAGCTCTTTCAGGAGGCATCATAATTATTTCGGACTGTGCGTATCAAGGCACACTGGTTGCAGAACATGGAAAATCCACAGGATATAGCCGGTTTCACAAGCCTCGAAGTGCAGCTGTATTTTACCATAGTCTCCAGCATTAAAAAAAAGAGGAAGAACTGGGAAAAGCAAGTGATTGGGAGTGGAAGATGGCAAAGTTTTGTTCTACTGGAGTCATCTCTATTCTTATGTCAATGTGATTCTATTTTTTTCTGTAGCTATCAAGATCTGAAGTAGAAGAGGCAAACTGGAAAACTAATGATGCAGATCTTAATCAAAATAAACGAGAAAAAAAAAAAGAGCAAAGCTGATAGCTACACTAAGGGAAAAGGACTGTTTCAAATTTGCAGAAAGAGATGCAAAACAAGAGTTCAGAACTGTCAGCAATAGGAGACAAAAGGCAGCCCCAGGGCAAGTGCTAGCAGAGCAATAGGCGCACCTGGGGAAGAACCATCACCAGAAGATCTGCCAGGAAAAAAGCCCTGAAGGGCAGATAAGGCAATATGAATATGATACTGAAGGTGTCAGCGGAGAGGGTGTCACTAGCAAGAATTAAGCTGGGAACAGAAATACAATAAGATTATTTATACTGTAGTGTCTTCAACAGATTTGTGGACTACTTACTGAGTTCATGTGTCTAATCAAGACACAGATGCGTGTTTTCAAATAAAAATACCTCCATATACTCAAATATTGAATTCAATAGTGACACATGCATCAGAGAAAACATTTTAAATAAAACTAATGGACAGCAAGGCAGGCTACAGGCCAAAAAACCTAGCAAATGATCCTCCCAACACAGGGGGTTTATGAACAGGATAGCACAAAATAGACAGACTCAGATCATGTTACCAGAGCATTCCTGTAGTCTTCACTACAGAAACAGAAAACACTCCTGCCTTTCCTATCTCCCCCTCCAACTCACACTATAACAGCACTAATGGTAGCAGAATTAATTAGTAATATGAAAGGGAACCATAACAGCTTATATTCAGTCTGATGATGATGCAAAAGAAAGGAGAACTATTCAGTGGCAGCCACCCCTGTCATTCCCTCCCCAAAGAAATGTCTGACTTAAAATACATTAGTGTTTTGGGATGATTTTTTCAGGGACTTGCTGAAAATATAAAAAGTTTAACTGACTCACCGTCACAGGCATAACCTTGACGAACTAATCCCACCATAAGAGAGGTGCAATGACTACACTGAGTAGGGCTTGTAAATGACTTGATATTGAGCTGGTGAGCTTTAGGCTGAAAGATACATTCAGGATAAAAAAACAAACAAACAAACAAAACCTTTTCACTTTCTGTACTTATGTAATGCAAGCATCTCCCTTCACCACCCTCCAGTATATCAGAGTGTACATTATGAAACCTGGGCCTCTTCTAAGTAAGTGCAGCTTGTAAAAGGTGCTGCAAGACAACACTAACAGTTTTATTTCCAACTGCATAAGACACTCAAACCCAAACCTAAAACCAACTATTTTGGTCATCCCTTCTAACAATCAAAACCCATCAACTTGCATTAGGAAACATTTGATTAAAAACACAGACCTAACAAACACACACATGACAAACCCAAACAGGACAAGAACAAAAATGGAGGCCTAATTTATAAATGATATTTTTTTCCTTTGTTCTTTAGAATAAGGTTAGCACAGTCCCCCTACCTTTGGTACAGCTAGAGAAATGGATTGAATGGTGGGGGAAGGAGCAGCAGGCATCCTCTGAAGCCGAATTGGTTCCTGAATCACAAAAAACTGTAATTGAGCAAAATGACGCTTCAAGAATTTGTTTCAAGATCGGGGTGGCAAAGCTTATTGTTTCCTGATTTTTTTTCTTTTTTGAAAGTTATCAAAAATTTAATCATCATAAACATTGCCATTCTGATTTAATAGAAACAGATTGTGTTTTAAAGCACTCACAGGAAAGCCTGCACACTAACAAACAAGCAGCAATACAGAAAACATATGAAAATGAGGTACATCAACATACACAGAGCCAGCAAAAAGGTTTCATTTGCAACCGTCCTCAAAGCAGGTACAATTAACACTGACACACTGCAAATAAGCAACATTCAATCCTGCTTCTTCATAATGAATGCTGCAATATGTATTTATCATGAACAGGACAGAGAGACTTTCTAGTGAATTACTCTTCAGGGGAAAATAACGGCTCTCTTACTTCTTGTTGTTGCTCTGCAGTTACAACTGAAGTAGATGGTGAAACTTCTGACTTGGGACCCTGCGTCTCCTGCTCACTAATAGAACTGGTCTGCAAAAGTGACAGCAAACATGTTAGATTAGATACCACAGATCTGATAAAGTGTTCTCTCGTCAACAAAATGGAAACAAAAAACAATGCTGATTTCTACATGCAGTACACATACATCTAACAGCTTGCCACTCTGAAAAAAAGAACCCTTTCCTCAAAACAAACCCTGCCACCTGATGGAAAAGCTGTAAAGCTGGAAGTACTGAAATGCAAAACCTCATGGTAGGCAGCATAAATGCTCTAACAGCTGCCTTCTCCCAGCAAGGCTGTGTCTAATCTCTTGCATGCAGGTATGGGATGATGTCTGAGAAGCTTGGCAATCATCCATAAAATAGCTTATTTCTCATGGTAGCTTACTACACTAGGATTTTTCTAGCACACAGCAGCCAGCAATTCTGCCACAAGAAAAATTGTTAAAGTAGTATTACACAATCTTTTTAAAAGTTGCCTAAAAATTGTTGGGCTCTGTCATTAAAAGAATCATGTCTACTTAATCACGTTGTCTTATATTGCACTAAAATTTAAGACTAGCATCCATTACAAGCTTCTATTAATTTCACACTTACATTAGCAACTACTAATTGCCAGCACAAGGGGGAAGTATGCTACAATTCCAGAGCTAAAGAAGCTGGGTGTGGAAGTAGGATACTGTATTACTGTACTCTGAGGACATCATGAAAATCATGATTAACAAACATCAGATTAGACTTCACATCAATGATGTAATTAGCACTAAAGGCAACAAGTAACAATCACTCACTTCCCAGCCAGTTTAGACAGGAAGATGGCTCAAGTTCAGTTAGCTCACTAAATATGTTCAGATATTTGTTATTTTTTTTTGTCATGAATTGATTGGTAGGGCTGGGCCATTTAAGATCAAATTGTACCATTATGTAATATGAACTATTTAAAAATGCTAAGTGTGATTCAGCTTTAGCCATATAGATAGTCAAAATATAAAATAGTAAGCCTGTAAAGAGGTGTTAAAAGAAAACTAAACTAGCTCTATTTAGTGGATTAAGTTATAGAGAAGTTAAGGAAGCAAAATATCTAGTTTTAGAAGTCCATTTTTACTATGACAGGTCACAACGAAATAAGGAGACAAAACTACTAGCAAAAACTTACTTCTTCCCAAAAGGCTAGCAGAGAAGATGTAGACGAAGAAGAAACAGAATCCTTTGTTGTAACAGATATGAGGGATAAAAACGATCACTTATCACCCACAGGAAAACTTCAGATAGAATATTAGTAGGCTAGCTAAATAAAATGTTTTATATGGCCAAATGATATTTATTCAAACTCAATTAACCCAGGGCAGATGACGTGGACTATCTTCATAAGTACACATGAAAAAAAAATTGTTAATGGAAGTCATTAAGTACAGTATCAGCAATTTTAATGTAATTCATCAGAAAATGCCACTTGCATTTCCATAGCGACTATATATTTATTGCAGGATCTATAGAATGGAATCCTGATTAGTTATGGGCTTGATATTCTACACGTTATTGTTTTAAGTATCTCTGGTACTTTTTAAAGCACCTTTTTAAAATATCAAGGTCAGTAGATAAAAATTATTATTCAGATAGTAGTGTATATTGTTCCTCTCTCTTCCCTCCACCTCATCCATATAGCACATCTTGCTGCTTCAGCAAGAAAGCCAGTGTGGACATTTTGTAACTGGGAACAGCACATACACAAAGTATATGCAAATATCACAGCATGTCCATAGGTTTTCTTCTTAGTGACAGTGGCAATTTGGAAAAAAAAAAAAAAAAAAAGAGAGTACCCATTTCAGATATAAAATTTAACCAGACTGATGAGGTTTTAACCTGAGCCCCTTTAACTCAGCTCCATAAATGTACCAGATTATTCTTTCCAGTTCCAGCTCTTGGTTTTATCCTAAACTATGTGTTTTGCCAAAAAAAAAAAAAAAAAAAAAAAAAAAAAAAATCCCTGAAAATCTTCACGGATCAAGAGTTCATGAAGTAAGGAAATGTGATTCAATGTTGCATTTAACAGCTGCTTCCTTGGGGAACGCACAAACCTTTTAAACTGAAACACCCACTTGGAGCTGTGATTTGTATCATTAGTTTTCTAAGGATCAGAGGGTGTGTCACGATAAACTTATTATACCAACATCTGTGGGTCCTCTGATTCTCTTCCTAGTTCCTTCTACTCTAACCACTCCATTAAGATCTGGAGCCAACAATTTTACATATCTGTTTAAACACTCCTTGAACTGTGTGAATAGTTTTCCTTGTATTAATCAGCACCTTCCAACTGCAAAGCATTTCATCCCTTATTTATAATAGGGTGTGCCAGCCTTTCCAAAAAACCCTGAATATATATTATTCAGCCAAATGTTTGAGATTAACCTAAACAAAGAAGCTAGAATGGGAAATAATTAACGTGAACTTCTGGGAATATTTCCCAAAGGTGCCAGCTTCCCTACAAAATGCCAAGCAATCTGACATCTACTGGACATCCAATTCTGCGTCACACTAATTTGGCTAATATGCCAGATCCAAATGTGCCATACAGCACCCAAGCATTACTTTTACGTAATAAATATATAATTTGGCTATCACATTTTTATAGTTATTTTATGTAATAACTCACTCTGAAAGTCAGATCACGTGCAAGAGGAGAGGTGTTGAAATATTCAAAAATGGAATCTTGAAAGTCTGGAAGTTTAAGACCTAAAACCCAAAGCAGAACAGGCTTAGCTAAAAGGCAACACTGCAGGTGGTGTTACAACTCTTAAAACACAGTAACTTTAATTACCTGAATCTGTTCTGTATTTTTCTTCCAGTTTTTTCTTCAAACCTTCCATCTCTTCCAACAGTTCCCTGTTTTTTGCTTCTGATTCCTTTAATTTACTACAGCAACACAATATGATCAAAATGCAATCTGAAATATCTCAAAGGCCAGTGCACAGCGTTGTTCATTTCTGGTCCTACATCTCAGTTTTGGAAAATGTTTGGTGGTGTTTTTTTGGTTGTTTTTTTTTTTTTTTGAGAAGTGGTGGTGTTTTTTTTGTTTTTCACTACTTTCACTACAGTGAAAACTGTACTTGAGACTCCTGCTATCATTGAAGATATCTGCCAAACAAAATTATTCTAACAGTAGCTTGGCTTTTAAATCCCAAGAATATGTCTACTCTTCAGTTAGTCTAGGAAAAGTTATTGAATTTACTCTTAAGCTTCTTTTTCCTCAGGTGCCCGAGATCCGTATCTTATTACCAAGCTATTCCCAGCAGTGAAATGTTTACTTGAAGACGTTTTTACAGTTCTCATTTGACTATGTAAGAAATGTGTAGTCTGTGGAATGGGATCTTTCTGGCAAAGTCCAATATCCCAGGCACAAGGGGCCATTTTAAGAAAGATACCATTCTAACCAGCAGTTTAGAGCAGCACATTAAACCCCAAACAGAACCAAAGCCCTTATTACCTTTCAAAAGATATGTTTGCATCTTTAACTTTTCGTAGCTCTTCTTGAACTAGTTGTTTGGCACGAATTTCTGCATCAAGGGCAGACTGTAATTCCAGCCTAGCTGACATATCCAACTTCTGGCTGCGTCGCACTTTCCAAAGTGGATCCTGTTGCAGTAAGTTACTGAATATTAATATCAACTGTCTAAAGATACTTCTATACTTGTTCAAAGACATAAAATAGCTTCCACGCTGGTTCAGAGAATGCTCTTTAATTAGTTATGGACGATATACCTGCTACATTGAAATCAGTCGATAGTCAGACTTTGTTACACCAAAATGAAGTAGTAAGCAATTTTTATAACGGTTAAACCACTAACACAATACGCTTGAAACTAAAATGCTGGATCACTGAGCATGGAAATAAAACTGAGAGAATCCATTGAAAATGGCTGGTTTTCATTGTCCAACCTAGAAAACGGTATAGAACTTGCACAGTGACATACTGGACTTTCAAACATGAGAGAAGTATAAATATTTAATGTAAAAACATACTAATCTTAAACATACCGAGAGTGGCAAAAACATGAAAAAATGAAATAACCTGGGTCTTGAGCTACCCAAGGTACCCGTTTCCTAAACAATTCTTACACCGGTGAAGCAGCATACGCTATACTTCTGTGTACACAACACAATTCTGCCCTACTACCCCCAAAAGCTAATTTTCTGAGCTTTTCCAAGCATTTTTCACTGTGGACTACATTTCTGATATTCCCTAATGGATACCACTCTAGTCATACATGAACTTGCAAATAACAGTCATGAATATGAGAAGCATTTTTTTATGTTGAGAAATAATTGCCTCAGATCAGGTTCTGCTGAAGTTACAAAACCAGCTGTAATATAAAGAACAGACAGCGTTCTTTATTCTGGCAGTAGCTAAGAAGAAAATGCCAACTGCATTTGATCTGATGTTTCTTCCTATTCAACCTCTCAATATTATAATTGTCTCTTGATGATGTAGGCAAATGTTAGCTCATAGGAAGTCATGACTTTCTCTTATTTTCTCCTATTCATAGGTTTGGAAGGGGTGAGTAACTTCTTATCTGTATAAACCAGCAGCAGATGGACTCTTTGCATGGTAGACTGTGCTGACTGACATTGCTAGGGACGTGATCTTCCATGCCTAGCTGCAAATGGCTCTCCCTTTCCTTATGCAGGTATCTAGTACCTGCCAAGGCAAGACAGTGTTTTTGTCTTTGAAACCGTACTCCTTCGTGAGGGCTCTTCTATTTTGCAGATTTGTTTTGGAATTCATGTTACTATTGTATGGGAAAATTATGGCGTACGGTCTCATTGTTCTGCATGTAAATAAAGCTACATGCTCTCAGTGTGTCACTAGTTTGTAACAATACCAACCAGCTAATGCTTGTTCACAAATGAAAACTTACTTTTATATCTGACTGTAAAGGCAATTAAAATTCCTCACTTGCATCTAACATGGTGAGGTACATTTCTGTACTCCCCTTTAACGGTTCAAGTTATTGTTTCTTCTCTCCTCTGTACTGTTTAAAGCAGTCTGTGATGGCAGATATTAGTAAGAAACACCCCCCCGCCTCTAACTACCAAATTCTGATCAGATGACCCAAATGGATTTCACAAGCAATAGCTAAAATCTAGAAAGTCATTAGCAGAGGAGAGGATTTATTAGAAAAGAATTCTGATATGAAGAGATATCGATAAGACTGTATCTGAAACTAAAAAAAGTAGCTTCTTAGACATCCCCAGAACAGCCTGAATGCTTTCTATTTTCTTACCAGTGTTCGTGACCCCAGACTGGAACTTCTCAATGATTCTAGTTCTTCTGTCATCTTGGAAGCTAATGCTTGGAGATAGCCACGAGCATCCTTCTCATCACTCACCCTATTGTGCAATTACAAAAAACTATTACTTAACAGTTTCATGGCTCATAGCACCAAATACTGTACCACCAAACAATCAGAGCGTCTGCACTGTATTTAGGGGCACAGCAGAAGTGGACATAGCAGGGAAAACTCTCCCAGCAACAGAAAACTGAATATATCTGAGACTGCCTGCTTTAGATTTTTCTTCTATCTGATTCTCTTGATTGTGGCAGTTGCTAGGGAAACTGAAGTTTCCCTTCTGCCATCAGCAAGTGTTCTGCAGAGATTCACTGTTATTGTTTGCAACATGATCTGCATATTGCTTGCTCAATTTTTATAAGGGCTACCTTCAAGTCCTTCTTGTCTTGCATGCTGAAAATACTTGCACACAGCTTGCCAAAACAGCAAATAACAGAGGAAAGAATTGACCTGTGAATTAAGTGCAAGTGCTTGTCTAGTACAGCTAGCGAGGTTCTATATGTTAACATGGACCTCTTAAATCATGACCATCTTCCTGAATGAATTTATCAAAATATTCCAAACTGGGTGATTTAATGATCACTTTAGAGACTGAAGCAAGTTGACACCAAAACCCTCTCCTTCATACTTAATAGCATCTTACAATTTCACTTGCCATTACTACGCAGCAATACTAGAAAGCAGAAGAGAAACAGTTAATCAACACTCAGAAGTACCATGCTTTTGTTGATCCCAGACACAGAGAAAGGGCCTAGCTGTACATTTAAAGAAAAAAAAAAAGCCAATCAATATTTCAAAAGTTGAAAGCGGACATCTGGATCTCTAAACAGCACATACCATTGAATAATTTCTGCAATCTGAGCTTCCCAGTGAGCAACAGACTCCTTCTTTGCTGCTAGGTCTTGGAGCTCATCTTCTAGCTGCCTGTTCTGTGCTGTTAATTTGTCCACAAAGGAGCAAAGCTGAAACAAAAGATTAATTTCACCCATGGCTTATGTCAGTTTCAGACTTTTTACATACGCCTGTGTCTACACACCTATAGAACACGAACAAACAAGACCACCGTGGGCTATCTGGAAGTTCTAACACAGACCAAAGAACTGGAAGGGGTTCTTTTTTTGTGGAACTGGAGACTACCTCCTGAGCATAGAACACCACATTGCCAGTTCACACAAAACAATCCAAAACAGAGGAAAAGAAAAAGCGAGTGTAGAGGCCATCGAGAATGTGGTTTAACTGTAAGACATCAGGAAGGCAGGCAGTCTTTGTAACTCCTTCCCTCTCTGTGTGGCCTTCATGAAGAAATCAGAAGGTGGTGGTGCCCTCTGAGTTGTGGGAAACAATCCCACAAAGAGCAGTGCTGAGATGCTGAAGTTACTATTTAGCTAGATCTCTGACATTTATGTGGTGAAAACTACATTTGTTTTATTCAGATATTGCCTGAAGATTTACAGAGCTGTTCTGCTCCATGAGTAGACTACTTCAGCATCAGAAAGCAACAAAGAAAGAATTATATTTTGCTTAAACATGTTTCCTAAAATAATTACCCTCTCATTTTCTGTTGTTAGCTTTTTGTTATCTTCCAAGAGCATAGATCTTTCACGCTCGTATTTCTCTTTCATTGTTCCTACTGCTTCCTCCATTTCACTGTGCCTAAGGAGAAGGACAAGAAATAGAAACACTTATACTGTAACACTGCT